GGAGCTGCGCCTGGCCCGCTTCGAGCAGCTCATCAGCCGGCGGCCCCTGCTCCTCAACAGCGTCCTGCTGCGTCAGAACCCACATCACGTGCACGAGTGGCACAAGCGCGTGGCCTTGCACCAGGGCCGCCCCCGGGAGGTGCGTGACGGCCCACCCCTGAGCCGCATCCCCCTCCCCAGCTAGGGCCCCAGTCCCGCCTGACCCGGCCCCTCCTGTGCAGATCATCAACACGTACACGGAGGCCGTGCAGACGGTGGACCCCTTCAAGGCCACAGGCAAGCCCCACACGCTGTGGGTCGCGTTTGCCAAGTTTTATGAGGACAACGGGCAGCTGGACGACGTGAGTGCTGGGTGTGCATGTTGCCCGTGCGTGAATGCGGGTGCCTCCTCCGCAGAGCACTTGCCGGGGGGCAGGGTCTCAGCCTGGCCTCTGCCGCCCCGGCAGGCCCGCATCATCCTGGAGAAAGCCACCAAGGTGAGCTTCAAGCAGGTGGACGACCTAGCCAGCGTGTGGTGCGAGTGTGGCGAACTGGAGCTCCGGCACGAGAACTACGACCAGGCCCTGCGGCTGCTGCGGGTGAGCACAGGCCCAGGGTGGCGCGGGGTCCCCCTCGGGGTGTGCAGCTGGGGCCTGGACGCCCCAGAACACTTCCCCCTGCCGTCCCTGCAGAAGGCAACGGCGCTGCCTGCCCGCCGCGCCGAGTACTTCGACGGCTCAGAGCCCGTGCAGAACCGCGTGTACAAGTCTCTGAAAGTGTGGTCGATGCTGGCCGACCTGGAGGAGAGCCTCGGCACCTTCCAGGTGAGCCATGGGCCAGGAGGGGACCCCCGCCCGGGGTGGGGCCCCTGACTCAGCCCCAGGACATGCTGTGACCCGCCCCCTCCCGGCAGTCCACCAAGGCCGTGTACGACCGCATCCTGGACCTGCGCATCGCCACGCCCCAGATCGTCATCAACTACGCCATGTTCCTGGAGGAACACAAGTACTTTGAGGAGAGCTTCAAGGTGAGGGGGTCCCGGGAGGCACTGTCCCCTACCCGACACCTTGGGCACTGGGTTAGTTTGCTCGGACTGCTGTGGCGAAGTACCGCCGACTGGGTAGCTTGAACAACAGAGGTGGACTTTCCCGGTCCTGGAGGCAGGAGCCCGAGCTCCCAGTGTCAGCAGGGTTGGTCTCTCCTGAGATCTCTCTCCTTGGCTTATGAAGGCCGCCTTCCCTCTCGTGGTCATCTCTGCACATGTCTAGTGTTTCTCTGTGTGCCCAGACCTTCTTTTACAGGGATTAAGTTGTATTGGGACAGGGTTTACCCTGATGATCTCATTTTAATCTAGTTATCTCTTTAAAGACCTCATTTCCAATACAGCCTCATTCTGAGGTCCTGGGGTCAGGGCTTCAACACTAACTTGAGAGAACGCAGGTCAGCCTGTCGCAGGCACAGTCTCCCCTGTGTCTGTGGGGTGGGGGTGGGGTGCCATGTAGATGTGTGGGGGCTGTCCCTGCCCTGCTGCTCAGGTGATGGGATGCAGGCACGTGGTGTGTTTTATGTGTGGTGTATGTGTCCACGTGGCGACGCCTGCACCGCTGCCCGAGGTTTCGGTTGTATGCATTTGGGGACTGGCATCTACATGGTGCAGGTGGTCGTACACACGTGCGTGCTGCCCCTTTGCCTGAGTGGGTGAACCTCTCCCAGGGCACTGGGCTCCAGTGTCTGCAGATCTGAGGATCCCCCCACTTCAGTCGTAACGTCACCTACTTGTGAGCCCTAGTCCAGCTCTGTCTTTGGGGTCCTTGCTGCTGAGGGGGGCTGGCAGGGAGCGAACAGACCTTCGTGGCTGTACCAGGACTGTATGACCGTGACTGCAGGGAGGAGCCCGACGGGAGGAGTGGACAGGCAAGGGGCTGCTTACTGAGCCTGGAGGAGATGGGCAGTCTCCGTGCAGACAGGCTGCTGGAGGGTCTCCCCCTGTGGACTCGCACACAACTCCCCCCTCCCGGCAGGCGTACGAGCGTGGCATTTCACTGTTCAAGTGGCCTAATGTGTCTGACATCTGGAGCACCTACCTGACCAAATTCATTGCCCGCTATGGGGGCCGAAAGCTGGAGCGGGCACGGGACCTCTTTGAACAGGCACTGGACGGCTGCCCTCCCAAATACGCAAAGAGTGAGGAGGGCCAGGCTGGCTCGGCAGAGGGCGTTGGGGGGGGGCGGGGCGGGCCCAGCCGTGACCTCCCGCAAGCCCCCGCCTGCGTCTTGTTCCGTGGCAGCACTGTACCTGCTGTACGCGCAGCTGGAGGAGGAGTGGGGCCTGGCCCGGCATGCCATGGCCGTGTACGAGCGTGCCACCAGGGCCGTGGAGCCCGCCCAGCAGTACGACATGTTCAACATCTACATCAAGCGGGCGGCCGAGATCTACGGAGTCACCCACACCCGCAGCATCTATCAGAAGGCCATTGAGGTGCCCCCTACAAGGGGTGGGGGGGTGCTGGGGGACCCTCGGGGAGAGAAGGGGTCCTGCTGGCAGGCGATCTGAGCACGCCCTGTGCACAGCGGCTGGGGGAGCCCGTCAGCCTGGAGACCAGCCCAGTGTTCTGGGAACCACCTGAGCTCCCCCAAAGGGGTGGCCCCTCCTGCCTCACATCGTGCCCAACCCTGATTGCCCAGGTGCTGTCGGATGAGCATGCCCGGGAGATGTGCCTGCGGTTTGCCGACATGGAGTGCAAGCTTGGGGAGATCGACCGTGCCCGGGCCATCTACAGCTTCTGCTCGCAGATCTGCGACCCCCGGGTAGGACCGGGCTGGGCCAGCGGTGTGGGAGGTGCCGCTGAGCCGGCTGGCTCACGCCTGTTTTCCCACCACCCCTCGGCAGACGACAGGGGCGTTCTGGCAGACGTGGAAGGACTTCGAGGTCCGGCACGGCAACGAGGACACCATCAGGGAGATGCTGCGCATCCGCCGCAGCGTGCAGGCCACATACAACACGCAGGTCAACTTCATGGCCTCCCAGATGCTCAAGGTGTCGGGCAGCGCTACGGGCACCGGTGAGTTGCTGCGGCCCAGCAGTGGCCTCCTGGGTCTGGGTGCCTCGGGCACAGACTGGGGACACCCAGCAGCACCCGGAGTGAGGCAGGCGCATAGGCAGTGGCCTGAGCGTGGCTGAGGACAGCCCAGCTGTGTGTCTGACCCCCATGCTTTCCCCAGTGTCTGACCTCGCCCCCGGGCAGAGTGGCATGGATGACATGAAACTGCTGGAGCAGCGGGCCGAACAGCTGGCAGCCGAGGCTGAGCGTGACCAGCCCTCGCGGGCCCAGAGCAAGATCCTGTTTGTGAGGTGAGGGTGGGGGCCTGAGGCCTAGCAGGGCGCCAGCCTGCTCTTCTTCCTGGGTGGGTGGAGGGCAGCAGGGGAGGTGCAGGGAGGCTATGGGGGTGCTGGGCCCGGCTGAGCAGTGTGGCTCCCTCCCCCACCTGCCCCCCTGCCCCAGGAGCGACGCCTCCCGGGAGGAGCTGGCCGAGCTGGCGCAGCAGGCCAACCCAGAGGAGATCGAGCTGGGTGAGGACGAGGACGAGGACGAGATGGACCTGGAGCCCAACGGTAGGAGGCCAGGCAGCCAGTCAGGGTGGTGACCAGGCAGGGTGCTGGGTGGAGGCAGGGGCGGGAGCGTGACCGTGTCCTCCTTGTCCTCTACCCTAGAGGTGCGGCTGGAGCAGCAGAGTGTACCAGCTGCCGTGTTCGGGAGCCTGAAGGAAGACTGATTCCCACCAGCCCCCCAACCCCCAATGAAGCTTGTGTTTGTACGTTTAAGTCTGAGCCTCCTTCCTGCTGCCCAGGTGCCCGCAGGGATCGCCTGCTCAGTGGCGCCCTGCACCCCCCCCATTGGCTGGTGTGGGAGGTGGGGCAGCTGGGCTCCAGGCCAGAGCGCTCGCCCCACCCTCGCCCCGCAGAGCCAGTGCTGGACTCAGAGGCCAGCCTCTCTGCCGTTTGAGGCCCCGAGCCTGGCGGGGGCTCCACCTCCCTCCCTGTCAGCAGGTAGAGATACTGGGCTTCCCCACCACAAACCCTTTCTCCTTGGGCGAGGGCACCCCCCTCCCCTCTGGAAGAGACTGATCTGAGGGCATCGGAGGCAGGCAGGCCCCGACCCGCTCCACAATCTTAGCAAGGCATTTCTCTGGACCGCGGCCAGGAGCCAGATCTCAGCTGTGGGCCACGGCCAGGGTGTGGTCCTTAGTCCTAAGCTCTGGGAAGCCATTAGCAGGCTCTAAACTATTAAGGGATTTTCAGCATTCAAGGACTTAATCAGATTTGTGCCCTGACAGGCCAGGCAGGATGCTGTGGGGACCGGCTTGTGGCAGGAGGTGACTGGGGATGTTGGGAGGCCCAGGCCGTTGGCCTGACTGGGGGGTGGTCACGGGGACGGAGACGAGTGAGACAGAGGCCACCAGGAAGTGGAGCGTGCAGGATTGGGTGTTTGGGAGGCTGGTTCGGCTCCCAGGCTGCAGGGAGACAGGAGCTGGGCCTGGCCCAAGCTTGTGGCATAGTTCCTACGTGAGACGTCCAGCCAGGGAGGCAACCGGACCCTGAGCCATGTTGCTCAGGAGAGAAGCACAGTAATCCCTGGCCCAGAGGCGGTCACCCAGCCTAGAAACGTAGGCAGGTGGCTGGAGGAGAGATCAAGTTTAGCAGTTGGCTGAGGACCAAATGCCAGGGGAGGCCAATAGTAACAGCCACCGAGGAGGAAAATGAAGCCAGTGGGGGCGGGGAGGGCTGGGCAGAGGCCTCACGTGCCCAGGAGGTCAGTTAAGAGGCTTCTGGGAAGCAGCCGCGGGGCCCTGGCAGGAAAGTGCTGGACCTTGGCTGGAGCCGTGTCCAGGCCATTGAGGGGGCAGAGGAGAGGCTGGAGCAGGCTCAAGAGCTGACAGGAGACAAGAGCGAGCCAGCTAGTAGGAAAACCCTCTTAGGCAGAGATATTGCTGGATGCCTCAGGGAGATGCCAGTGGTCGAGCTCTCTTTAAATTACTTTATTCAAGAAGGTGGGGAGGACAGACAGAGGACTGAGCTGAGCCCTGAGTCCCTGAACCTCCCAGCTCAGCCCCCACAGCAGGATGGGACGGAAGTTAGGGGGTGGGGACTCCAGCCCCACCCAGACAAGGCCGGGGACAGACAGGACCCAGGAATACCGACAGACTGTCCTCTAGGCTGTCCTCCAGAAGGGCGGCGGCCGGAGCACGCGGGGCCCGGCCTGCGGACCACCCAGGACGGGACTATTTGGGGGTGCTGCCGCCCTTCTTAGGAGTGGTGGGCTTCTTGCTCTGCCAGAGGTGTCCCTGGATGGTGAAGGCGTCCACGCTCATGGACATGGTCTTGGCGGGGATCTGGGTGAAGCGCTTGCGGTCCGAGTTGTACTTGTAGATGCCCTCGACCATGGCGGGCGTGACTGTGCGGGGGCCATAGCCCGCCAGCCGCGACAGCTCCTCCGTCTCCCCTGACAGCGTGTAGAGGGCCCGGAATTGGCAGCTCGAGTCTCGGAAGAGGATCAGGAAGTGGTTGGCCTTGCTCTTCTCAATCTCCTGGTGGGCGGTGGGAGCGGTTAGCGAGCCCCCGGGGCCCCCGACCTACCCACCGGCCCCCTCGCCCCGGGCGCTGGCCCACCTCAAGGATGCGGTTCTTCTGCGGCTCGTTCACCTTGCCCGCCAGGCAGCAGTGCGACAGGGCGTTGTGGATGATGAACTTGTTGGACTTCGCGCTGGGCTCCTTATACAGCCGTGGCCCTAGGGGGCGGGGCGGTCAGCTGGGATGATAGTGGCGGGTGGGGTGTTGCAGGCAGGCCGGTGCTCGTCCCCCAAAGCCCCACCTACCTGTGTACTCGGGCACCGAGGCGGGGGAGGAGGCATTGCTGCCGTTCTCCCACTCACGGTCACGGCTACCAGGCAGGCGGCTTGGGGACATGAGGCCGGATGGAGATGGAGCCCTGCAGGGGGAAGAGGTGGGACAGGGGTGCAGTCAATGGTGGACGAAGCCTCCTGGCCCATATGCCGTGGGACTGGGGAAGGGCAAGCCCAG